TCACTTAATTTTCAAGTGCTTGATAAAAAATATGGTAGTTCTTATAACATTATTGTTCAGTATTGCAGGTCAACTTTTTAAAATAAGAACATTTCAAAAGTTATTTACAAAGCGCAATGATAGAATTTTAATAATTCATTCTGGATTCAAAGTTATCCCCCAGAGGAAGCAGAGTATGTATCCCCTATATGAAATGAAAGATAATAGCCAGATATACTTGGTAAGAAGTTGTGCTGATAAGATTAAATATTTTCCAAGTTTGTGGCTAACAGAACTTGGTCTTAATTACGAATTAATGCAATCTTTTTCTTAATTCCTGTAATTCTTCACTATCAATTTTACAAAACTGTAACATACAGTCATTTTTATCGACCTATAACACTTAATGATAATCTAATTTTATTAGGCAAATGGAGGCTTAATTCAAGCAGTTCATCGTTGCATATATTAGTTTGCAATTCCGCTGAATATGAAATTATGACAAGACATCTGATGCAATGCTAATTATAAACAACTTTAAGAAACATGATGGTTATTATTTCCTGGATCAAGCTACTCACAGGAATGTTTTAATAAAATTGAAGAAGGGAGGGAGAACAATGGAGGAAGGATGATGATGAAGGTGATAATTTTCTATTAATCTAGTGTTAGATGAGAGGTGGTGACTAAACATTTGGGGAACATCATTCCACCGCAATTTGAATGAGTCACTTCTCTTAGTCCAGTATTCTAATTCAACTTTTGCCAATCCTTTGTTCTTGAAATTTCAGAATGTGTGTTAAAAACATGTGTCTTAGCCAAAAATCTGGTTAAAAAAAAAACCTAGATCAATTGCTAGAGTAACGTTCAAATGGGAAGACAAAGAAAAATATACTGTTCTCCTAGATGATTGAAAAATTGAAATAGAACATGTTTCCACCTTCAAGTCAATATTTTCAATTTTAGGAATAAAACCTTTGTATCTATTTTTACGGAACAAGGAGAAATGTAAGTAGTAGCACAGTGTGAACTCTCAAGTACTGAAGGTGGAATTTAGGACATCAGTCAATGGTAATATCTCAAGGTGCTTAGGCTTGGAATTTCCTCTACCTTTTCCCCCTCTATATTCCCTCCCCACAATTAATCTCAAAAAATCCCCAAATCCTACAGAAAAAAAACAATGGGGGAGGGACACTGATTGTTCTAATGCTGGATTAACATAGATACATGTGTCTATATCTTTCCAATGCTCATTGCAATTCAATACACTATTTTTCCAAAGACATATTGCAAGAATGGAAGATAAGGAGAGACCTGTCCATAGAATTGCCAAGAGTCAAGCACAATTGAATGGATAACATCATTTTTCATTGGGGGAGGACAATCAGATGTCAGGAGTTAAACCTGGTAATTTGACAAATAGGAAAGCAAAGGAACAGTTGCCCAATACAATTCCAATCCCCATCTATGGTACATAACAATAATGCCTCATATGGGGAGCCGAAAACAGTCTGCAACTTGTGTGGCTGGTTGGTGCCCTGAGAGCTCCCCCGCCTTCAATTTTACATTATTTTTTTAACAGGGTTTAATTATTGTTGCCTCTCTCTAAAAATAATTTCAAATTTTTAATTTTAATATTTTAATTTTATATACTGTTTTTATATTTTAACATCTTATTGTCCACTGCCCAGAGTCCTTCTTTGAGGGAATTGGGCAGTTCAGGAATGTAACAAACAAATATATAACACCTGCTTTGCTCTATCCAGGGGAGAATTCATTCTTTGATGCTAATCAGATTCAAGAATGCCCAAGGACTCCAGTGTTCACACCCTAACTTTGCATGGGATTAGCAAGTCAAAGGGCTGGGTGGAATTCAGATGGAGGAATATTACTTTCAGCATGTAATTAGAGAATTAAATTCTACTGTTTGGTTTCTCAAAATTCAAGCTTGATATTTCTAAGATTTTTCAGCCATTTACATGAATATTCAGTCTTCATAGTCCTACTTTCAGAAAACTAATTTGATGTGTAATATTTGACTTCACATGATCAGCAGTATGCAGAGGTATTCAATATTTGGCTATTTATTACTGTTGGAATATAATGGTTCTAATTAGAAAGTGTTTTCTCATATGTAATACCAACCTGTATATGGCACAAATGTAGAAGGTGATCCTGTATTTGTCATTTTACCAGACTGTATATCCAATAAAGCAGTTGAGAAATGCACTCAAAATTAAAATTTTGAAGAGGAAATATCAAGAGCATTTAAAATTAAATTTGTGAATATGCTCATATTCAAATGCAGATTTTAATTCTGAATTCTCCCAATATCTATTAAAAGAATGTTGTACTTTGTAAGGAGATAATCTTCTCAAAATATAATCTGTACAAAATATAATCCTCCCATATTTTTGCCAAGAAAACTACATGGATGTGTTCATTAATTCACCAGGAGTTAGGTTGATTCGAAGGAGATTTTACCTTTTATGGTAAAATAGAAATTTGTTAAATATGTGTGATTTTTTTAAAAAAAGAAATGTTTAGTGTAATAAGATACAGATAATTGTTTTTGCAATGACTTGTTTATTAAAACATTTTTGCTGGAAGCAATTTTAATATACATGGTTCATTTGGAATCACTAGAAGATATTTTACGATGCAAAGGATATGAGAAAGAGATAGTAAAAGAAAAAAACAAGCACATTCCCATTTAAACATAAAATTTTAGGGTTAGTTCATAAACATTTCTCCTCCCAAATGGTCTCATCTCTCTTCCTCAACAAACTAGACAAATATAAAACTTCTTTTTCTCTCAAATAAGGAATAAGGCAGGGATAAAATATTTGCAAGAATGATAAATGATCAGTGGAAATAAACATTCAAAACATAAAAGATAGAGCACTGGAGAAGAGAGAGTGAAAGAGGTCACACAAGGACTTGTAAGCTAAAACTTCACAAAAACCCTTCTTCCATGACAGGCACTGAAAAAGAGAATTGTTTCCAGCTGTAGAAGGAGCCAGATTTCCTTGAACAGAGCACAAAATAACAAATTATTTACAAGTTTGCCTTATGGGAGATATACAGCCCAGAATCTCCACCCCCTGATCATTGCCAACCTGGTGAAGGCCACTGCTCATGATTCCATAGAGTTATATATTGCATCTGGAGTGTCCAAAGGTAAGAGGAAAAAAAAAACTGCTTTGGACACTTCTGCCAAAGGAAAGGCGTGTATGTATGTATATGTATATGTATATGTATATGTATATGTATATGTATATGTATATGTATATGTATATGTATATGTATATGTATATGTATATGTATATGTATA